GTATTTATAATTCTCTGTTCTCCCTTGATTCTAAAGATATGTCTTTAGGTTCCTCCTCCAAACATTTTCTACTAACACTTCTGTTCGTCTTAACTCTTTACGCTGAGAGCTCTTTTCCTCAGCTATTTCACTTCTGCTTGTGTTTTCTATTCCATCCAGAGTACAAAACAATTATAGTAACGCTGAAGAGCCTGATTGTGCTCAACTTATTTAGAATAGCACAGCTTTGTAAAATAAATATGTGGAAAACATTGGGTACAATTGCTGAGAAATACAGGAATATTTCTGCCTTAATATCTGGTCAGTCATTAGCTGTGCTTTCTCTACAAGGATTATTTTTAACCAGTAGGGATGCTTAACACCTAGAGGTGAAAATTGCATTCCTACGTATGTGTTTAAATAGGCAAAGTGCCAGCCAGCAACTGGTTTGTGAGAATGAGAGCCAGACCCCATTTTAAGATTGTCCATCAAAGGATGACGTTGCTAGCTGGATTTAAAAATATATAATTCTTATAACTAAATTACAGGGTTCTCTTGTTTTAAAAATAAATGCATATCAAAATTAGAAAGTAACAAAAAGAAATATCTGGTTTGCATACAGAAAGAAGACACCAAGAAAAAAGAAAGAATCAATACTTCTTAGTTCATTATCAGGAGACTTTTCTATTGATATCTCATCTGAATCACGAGACATGCTGTCAGCCTCTTCACTGGTGCTTGAAGATGCCAGGTCTGCCACTATAATGAGATGTCAGATGGTTTAAAACTGGGGTAATAACTTCATTTACCTAATGAAATAAATAGAGCAAGACAGAAGTAAACCTATCTCTCAGAGTTGACCAGAGGTGATTTTGTTCTTGTCTCTTCAGAAATACATTGTCAGCCTTGAGTAGACAAGCTGAACCATACTTTATGTAAAATGCAAACTGGGGAAGATTAATCCCTGCTTGTAGAGGAAGAGATCTCTGTCTTCTACTGTTACTCTAACATTTTCTATTTTCCCACCCAAGAATCTGTGAGAGGAAACATTTCTGTGTTCACCCCTGAGACTCTTTTTGGGCTCTGTATATAGTTAGGAAATATCTTTAAAATCTATTGTTCTGTCTTTCAAACTGAAAAAAAAAAAAAATCCAACAAAAAAAAACCAACCCAAAGTGGAAAAAAAAGAATATTAATCATAGACTGGAGTAGAAACTCATGGCTGCAGGAGATTCCTTGCACCACCAGTGGGTAAGAAATGTGTTTTATGGCATCAGCAGAGCAAGCACTGGTACTAGCTATATATAGAATTGTCACCGACTTACACAAGTTGTTGATAATCCTCCATTTATAACTTACTAGCAGACCAACTTCCTCCCATCACACACAAATTAGAGGATTATCAATAATGCATGAACTAATAAATAATGCTTGCATGCTGTTGTCAGGGCAACAAATATCATTTAGACTGCAACAGAAATCCTCATCTTGTGATTTCAAGCCTTCTGTATCTGTAAGGCTCCAGTGAAGTAAAATGATGTGGTTTGTGTGTGTTTCTTTGAGTCAGCTGAAAGAACCAGTGAAGTATATCCTGTTAGATGTGCAGAAATGTGAGAGATCCCTTTTAAAAATCAGTATTTCATTTCATTTACATATTTAATAGCTGTTTACAAAATACCAATATGAACAACGTAGGAACTGCCACACTGGATTACCTGGTAAGTCTCTGTGGCATCCAGTGTCTTATTTATGAGTTACCTGGGCTAGATGTTTTATTCGAAACTACTACAAAGTGCCCAACAGTTGTGTGTGACACAGCCTGCCCCTGACCTGTTGCACTATCAGTGTACGAACTCATTTCCAAGACCTGGAGGATAAGCAGTTTCTTTTTCAAAGCATTTCGATGTTACTCCTTAAATCATCTATAGAAGCAATAATCCATTTGAGAGTTTTTAAGTTTTTGGCTTTAATTACATCTTGTGGCAGCGAAATCCCAAGTTTAATTTTTCATCACGTGAAACAACATTACTTTTAATCTGCCCTAATTTTGTGACCTTTCCCTCTGTCTTCACCTCTTGTTTTTGTTTAGTGGAGTGAAAACTGAGACATATAAATATATATATTCTTGTTATTAAAAAGTCAACAGACCCCAAAACCAGCCAAGACCTGGCCCCAGTGGGAGCATTTATTATTGATTCTAGGATTTGATCCAAAAATAATATTTGTTTAAATGGGCTCCATTGCCATCATGTACAGTTACTATTGATTTGTAAAAATCTTGGCAGCACATGTTAAAGTATTAGGAAGCAGAGGGAGTTTTGTTCTTGAGTTACTTCAGTAATTTGCAGCTATCTCATTTTGCCATTTTCAATGGCCAAAACCCCCCAAAATACACATGGAAGACACTGAACTTCATCAGTCTTCTGTGAATGACTTGTTTATTTCTTAAACCTGGCAACTTCTCTTTTGGCACTGGAAGAGAAAAAAAAAACACATACTCTAATCTCAGCATCATGGCATTTATGATTTCTCTGATGACTGGGGCAAAGCCACTTGGCTTTGGTGCTTCTTTTGGCAGTGCATTAGGCTAACAGCAAGACGTGTGGGAGATGACTGGCTTCTCCTCAAACCTGTGCACCAAGAGAGGAGACCCTGTTCTGCCGAGCTCTGTGGTGGGGGCATTTCTCTCACAACCAGGGAAAGATGGAAACAAATTGCTGGCACTGGGAGTAAATGCAGCAAATGTGTTCCTGGGGCAAAGTCTTTATCAGGTTAATGGTGAAGATTGCCAAAATTGAGCTCAGAATTTGGCCACGGCCTCAAGCTGTAACATAAGACAAAACGCAACACACCCCCAGGCTGTAAGTCAGCTAGGTAGCAATTGCTGCTTGATTTACCCTGTGCCTGCAAGAGACAATTTCCATAGGAAACCAAAAAGCACACTTTTCCTTCTGCAGGTGGTTTGCACCAGGTGAAGCCAAAGTTCTCCACTGTTTAAAATCTGTGACCACAGTTTGGACAGTAGTGTGTTTTTCCAAGCAGTTGCACTAATTCAAAAGGTCTTGCCTGCCTTAGGCTGTTTGTCTGTAAAACTAAAAATGAATCTTGATAGTTGAGCAGCCATTTCAATTAGTCCTGTATAAACCAAGTATATTAAAAGCACAAGTTATCACAACATCAAGTTATACAGCTCGGAATATGATGAGTTTCACAGGTGAGGCAAGAATTGTCAGTTTTAATTGTCAAGAAGAGTTTTCGCTGTTCACCTAAGGAAAAAAATGCCCAGCTTCTATTACACAATTACTTTTAAATGACATTTTTGCAAGACTTCAAAGAGTGTAGGAAAATGTTCAGCTCTGTTTACTCAACTATTGAGAACGAGCACAGTATATTAAAAATAGGTCCTTTTCCTGAATTATTTTGGGAAAAAAAGGGTAACAGCACTCAGGAGCTCTGATCAGCTCCAAGCTGTGTATTTCCATGCACTGCCCAGCAATGTCAGGAACAAGGTTGAAGGTAATTCGAGAGGACTCAGACAATCAGTGCTCAGGCCCCAGTCAGCTCTGTAAGGATCAGCAGTTACTATTTAAATTTAAAATGTATTGGCATAAATGAGGTATCCTTACTTCTTACCGTTAAGCTCTTTTACAGATAGGCTTAAAGATGCAGCGCAATTTCCAGGGGCTTAAGCGTATTTTTAGTGGAAGTGGCCTTTTGACAGTGTTGCTACAAAGCTGATTACATTCCACCTGTAATGTCAGCCCCGTGCAGAGTCTTTTGCAAAGGCGGTTTGTTATAAATTGTTTGTAAATGTCAGATAAAAGCATCGTTTTACTGCAAGCAACTAGAGGTAGATGTGTAATAACATTCACATTAATATTTTATTTAAATATATACTCAATTCTCATAGTCACCCAGCTCTGCAACTTGTATGAAGACTGAAATAAGACAGCAATAATTTATAAAAGAAATACTCTAAAATCCGCTGAAAAGGTAACAAAAAATGCAATTTGACATTTTTGCAAATGTTAGCTGTATTTACTTTCCAGTAATAGCAATTAGCAAGATTTGTTTATGCCTTCCTTTCAGAACTGTGACGTGGAAATCCAGCCACTGCCTCCAGAGATGTGGAGATCTGCAGTGTCCAGAGGAAGGTGCCCGTGCCCACCCCCGCCCCCCATTCCCCTTCTCCCCTCTGCTCCAGAAGCTGCTGTGCTGGTGAGTGAGGGGCAGCTGACATTGGGCAGCCAATTTTGCTGACAAGGGAGGGGAAGGATCCACTTTTCCTTCCTATAAACTCCCCCAGGGACTGTGCCATGTAGTAAATATTTGGAGATTACCTTTTGGGGCTGTATTTTTTTATTTGGAAAGATGTAGAATGTAAGGCACCAGAAAACTATGAGGCAAACTGCTCTGTCTGGTTATCCTGACTCCAGCTCTGTTTAGGAAGTAAAAAGGTACATTTGGTTTACATGCTTCTCATCTCTATGGCCTTTCTAGGCAGCACCAAGGTGCGGAGCGACAACTGCTCTGGAACAGCAGAGACATCTAGTGGGAATCAGATTTTTACTGTGACAGCTCAGCAGAGACGCCACCTTTCAAACCATAGCCTTTACATTATAGTGTGTTCAGAACTGGTGCCCAAGGGCTGAAAGGCTTCTTATTACTATCCTTACAACCATGCAGCCTCAGTCTATATTCCATTTCTGAAGGAGCCAAGATGTGATTTTGGTTTTCACCTGGGTTTAAATCATGGCATGACCACCATTTCCAGCTCACAAGGCTCTCACCTTGAGCAGGGAGCCCAGCCTGGAGCAAAGCACAGCTCAGGGCTGGTGTTCGCACTGAGCTCCCTCCTCCACTGCCTGGGCTGAGCTTCGGCTCCTGCTTCCTTCTAGAAAGAGTAGATGTATCGTGTCACATCTCACCCCGGAGTGGCAATTCCAGAGTGACTCAGTGTCTTAAGTCTGCTCCCCAGCGTCATACAATCTGGCCCAGCCACTGCTGCTCTTTTTTCCTATGTTTTAGCAAAGGAGGAACACAAGGAGGGGAGGGAACAGCCAGCAGAAAAGAAATTAGGCAATGCTATGGCAAGTCAACATCACAAATGGTGAATATTTTAAATTCTGGAGTAATAATAATCCTCACATTGCTTTTATTACTGCTGCAAGCTGAAAAGCCACCACAGCCCTGTGTCATATGTGGATTAAGTCATAGGTTCAAGCTGATCTCTCCTGAAACAGGTTTCTGAAGTTCAAGGATCTCCACTAAAAATAACTTCCTTCTCGTAACTTGACAAATGGAAAATTGTAATCATTGAGAAGGTTGGTTTTGGGTTACTGATGGAAGCATGGCCTTCAGGATCATCCAGTCCTGCTCATATCAGAGCGACTGAAGCAGAAGTAGCAAAATTTGATCTCCTGGCTGACAGTGTTTACTTACATATCATTATTTTAGTAGCAATAATCTTTCTAAAATATTGTAATAATAATAATAAAAACTAAATACACCTCCTTTTCAAGCAATTATCATAACAAAAATAGTTGTGGAGATGCTAGATAAGAAATCAGAAAGGGCTAGTGAACATTTTACCTGAAAGTTATCAAATCAAAATCAGCCTGGTTTGATTTTAATTGACGGTGGCTGTGCAGCAGGCTAAGTGAAATGAGTTTGCTAATGTAATTTCTAGGGGTAGAGGTCTTTGCTGACTACCAGAAGTCTGAATGGCTCAAGTTACAGCATTATCTTTTCACTCCTACGCACCATTCATCCGAGTCAGATTTAAGGTAGTTTGGCATTAGGAGGAACTTTGTGTTAGAGCTGATTGTATTAGAGACACCCCATCATGAGTCCTGAATGACAAAACCATGCCACTGCTGTCTCTACAACCTGCAAAACACAGCTACAGGTCCCATGTTTTAGTTGGATAACTAACAAACAGCTGTTTCTTTCCCCTTCTTAATCAGGAATCCATTCCCTTTCACCAGGAGCATAGAGCAAAGTGGAAAACCAAACAAATAAAGTTCCATAGGCAAGAGTCCTAAATGCTAAATGTGAGAACATCAGAAGACCTTAGAAGCAAAGAAACTAAGTGGAAAGGTGTCACTCTTTTTTCGATCAGGAAAAGCATGGCTTGTGAGTCAGCAGTGCATTTTTCCACGTTAGTGGCGATTAATTTGTACACATTGACACGAGTTTCATGTCCATGCTATGACACAGTTAATTAGATTTGTACCTGACTGACTAGGTAACACGTGCTAGTTTTTCCTCATACACAAAGGCCCCACACATGGAATGGTGGGGTGCACACGTATTTGGATTCAATCAATTTATAAATGTGTCCAAGTCTTGTAAAATAATTTTAAGCAATGTTTGTCAAAATTCTCCATAGTTGTGCATAGGTGGTTACAGAGTTAAGATTATTTCTGATATTGCTGCCTTCTTCCATATTTCATTTCTGACACTCAAATATCTTCCTACCTTTGACAGGAAAATGAATAATTTATCACAGGATGCTATTCAAGTAAAAGCAAAATAGTTTATACAACCTGAATCAAAAGTGCTGCAGTCTGAAGATTTACACTTACAACCCTACGCCTGGCCTTATGCAACCTTCCTTTTACTCCACAGGAGCAAACGCAGGGGAAGAGTGTTGATTTTTGCTGAAAGTTTAAGCTGTGGAATCAGCAATGACAGGTTCTCAGAAAGGTAGAACACTGCTCTGGCGCCCCTTAGAGAGGGCTCAGCTTAGGAAAGCGCTGAGCCTCCCTGCAAGTGAATCTGGCAAAGGGCCACCTGCATCTCCATGATCAGTGTTTTGAGTATTCAGCCTAGCCATACCCAGTGAGACATCCACAGTAAAATTAAAGCTTACTTGCAAGACACAACATGTAGTATTGCTGAGGCCGTGAGTCAGCTCCATGTGACCTCTCACCTCCAGGACACACACTTGAGCATCGCTGACTTGCTTTAGGCATCTTTAGAGATCTGTATTACATGAACTTGTGGACTGTAACAAGGACAGTACATTTTCTGATTTGTAACAGACATTATCTAGGTAAAACCACAATTCCTTCATCTCCCAACACCAGTGACTTCATGAACTTCAAGTATGCACAGGAAATGTTCAAAGTAGGAACACAGATAGGGTGACAGAATATAGGTCCTAAGCAGAAAAAAAATGCCTCTTCTTAAATGAACACAGACACTGGGCCAATAAACAAGCTACATATTTAATGAAAACCACAGAGTTCTGAGTAATTATTTATCAGTTCTTCTAATAACTAATCTGCAACTGGAACTATAAAAATCAACTTTATAATGATTTGCTCTGTTTCAAATTCTGCTTGGCATGTTTCAGTACATACTTCTGTTCAGTTCAGATTACTTAAATGCTATTTCCATTTTCTTTCCAGGTATTGTTCAGAGTTCTCCTCCAGCATGGATCTGCTAGACAAATGTAGATGTTGATTTATGAGCAATAGTAGGTACACCCTATTATTACCACTAAGTCTTACTTATGTATAACAGACCAGGTTTCAGAATTTTTTAATATCCTGTAGTGTTGTGAATTACATAAAAGGAATAATTTTGCATACAATAAAAATACCAAAATTATCCAACATAATGCATGAAAAAAGAGTAATTTACACTTGTACCTTGCATGGAGATCAAACAGTTTTTATTTACTATGAAAGAAACACAGAAGGATATTAGAAAACAGAACAATGACAAATATTTACCATTTGAAAATGCTGAAATGAAACACGGGAAACAATTTTTTTCCCACTTTTTGTTAAAGAAAGGGCAGTATTGAAACAGCCATTTTAATGCAGGACCAAGTCAAACTAACACATTTCAGAAAGATAAAGTAAAAACATGTCAGAATGCAAATTTAATACATTTTCCTTTTATATCAGTGATTTAAAGAAATAAAGATACCAAAGAACATTCCCAGAATCATCCTTCCTTTTTTATTTTTTTTCTCACCACAGATTTGAGAACAAGGAAAAATAACACCATAAAAAAGCTTTATGAATTTCTTCATTCACATGGGAAAGCTGATCCAGGTCATTTCCAGTAAGGTATGTCCAGAGTTATGTCCAGGTTAGTCTCCTACTGATGTAATAGTTTTCTCACAGCTTTGCTAGATACCTCAGAAGAAATACTACTGTATTTTCTTTGGTTGATCTCTGGCCTTTAGTGGAATGAAGGACAGATTTTTTTTTTGTAAGTGTAGTTGGGCTAAATCTGATAGATTCAAGTAAGACTAATAATTCAGTATTTTAAAGTCACACTCAGACAAAGGGAAGCTTCGTAGACTGAAAACAGTCACTGTACAGAAACAGGTACGCCACTAGTCTGGTCAACAAAAGTCTGTACCACTACACACAATAATCTTTCTATTATTTCCCATTAAGAGTTCACAGAAAGCCTCTTATAGAGGCTCTTGTAGATTATCAAACAATTTTATGTGCTTAAAATTGCTCAGAAAAAATTATTTCTTGAAACCTGTTGAAAACTTTGTTATTTTGTTTTAAAGAGTAACATTTTTTTTTTCCCCAGATGGTAAGAGTAGTGGGTAGATGTTCAAGGAAACATTTCTTTCCCCTCAAGCCCACCACAAGTGAGGAACTACGCTAATGCTGGAGCAGCTGGATCAACCCATCAATTTAGAAGAGCCCCTCAGCAAGGAGATTGTCTACAGATGTTCAGGATACTGCAATGCACAGTGGAAGGAAGAAGAGATAACAGTGAAATCATTTGCCCTGAATCCTCCTCCTGCTGCAGCAGATGCAATGGCCCAGGGTGATACCGCTCGCACCCCTACTGTTGGTGCACTAGTCAGTCTGAACTTTGCCAGTCTTATTTTTGCATTTTTCTTTAAACTGCTGCATGATTATATATGTATTTTTGATTGGAAGCTATAAGATTACATCTTCTTGGGATGCCAAGTTTTTTGCACCCCAGAGGAATTCAGTACAAAAAGAGAAAATTACCCTGCTCTGACAGCCTGCTCATCTACAGCGGATAACTCTGCAATACAAGTCACCGATCAATGAGTCTGGGAGAAAAACGGAAGACACAACATTCTTGTGCCTTCAGATGAAATCTTTATTTTCTGTACAACTCATACTGACTATTAAAATCTACGCAAAAGAGAAAAATAAAACAATTTCATGGTAGGATTTCTTAATGTTCATGGAGAGCAGGTATGTGATGGTCGCAGTGGTTTGCTCAGGCCACTGGACTGCCCATCAGCCGTTCTTGCCGGAGAGCAATCAGCCTCTGAAACCACTTCTCTTCTGCTTCTGCCTTCTCGATAAACAGCTGACAGAGAAGGGGGAGAGGAAGAAAAGCAGGAACAACTCATTAACTTTCTCTTTATTTGCTATACTATGTTGAAACATGTGCAGACTATTTTGGTGCCCAAAGGCACCCAGCTGCACAGGGGTGTTAAAATACAAAGGTGACAGAAATACATTCATAAAGGTAGTGACTTTTAAGAATCAGAAAGCCAAGACATTCCAATTTCAGTCTTCTCCTGAAACAGCAAGTTTGCCATATTGTACAGGTCTCAACGGTTGTTAGCCATGTTCACTATACAGAACTCGGATTAGTTTATTTACTGAAAGTCATTTATAACTTGCTAATACTTAAAAAAACCTCTACTGTAAGTACTCCTATTTCCAATTACAAAGGATAAGTTTAGCCATAATGATTTAAAATGATCTTAAGTTTGTCATGTATTTAAAGCTTTACAATCTGGCAAGGTCGACAAGTTCTGGGTCTTTCACCAGGTTTCCAACTACAGAAATTTTTTATCGAACAGGGATTTTTATATGAACGGTATCTTAATTTCCCCTGCATTCAATTACTGCGCTACTTTTTTATAAAATTTGTTTGTAGTTCTAAAACTGTATCACTAGTGAACTTCTTTTGTAATTATTCTCTGTCAGATGGTGCAAGGAGTGTGATCCTGTTTAAGCCAATAAACGGCCCATTAGCTAACGGTCTTCAGACCACAGGTTATTTGATGAGCAGCAAAGCAAAATGGTTGTTAGTTATATGAAGTTATGTGCTCTTTTTCAGTGGGCTGTCTTGTTCTAAAGACGAAGTAAATATTGGCACACTTACATTTGGATGTGCTAAAGAATTATCATCTTGATATTTGATGGCAGTAGGAATATTGGCAGATGGTCGTTCTTTTTCAGGGGCAGATGTATCAACAGCTCCCACTCCGATAGTTACAGGTTCATACTGTAGTTCGGCAGGTTCTGTTGACTAAAAAGAAAGAAACACATCTGAGTATTTTATCTTCAAACTCCCAAAGGTGGCAGAATTGTAATTGAGTGCTCAGCTTTCCTCTTATTGCAATGAATGCCCACGAAAGGATCTTCATGCAAATAGTTCTCAGCATGGTCAGTGGGACACACTGGGCATGGACTAAAGTTCAAACTAAGCACATGAACTGAAAAAAAAACCCCCAAACTCATTGCCTTGGGCAATGAGAGAGCTTGCAGAACCTTAGCTTTGGCGTTTTGGATCACTTCTGAAGAGGCTGCAGGAACTTCTTGGAGACTTTGAAAAGGCAAGAAAATGCAAGTTCTTGGGGAAACAAACAGTGGTAACTCAAAAATTCAGATGGAAAACCTGAACAAAACTTTTGCCTGCATACTTCCAAAACCAAAAGCGTCCAAGTTCCCTAGAAGATCTGACAGCCAAAAGGCAGGTAAAATTCTGGAAACTGGATGTCCCCTGTTAAGTTTTTGGACAGCTGACTGAAACCAATGCCAGTTTGGATCAGGGAGTAAACCTGATCTTAAAGTCTGGCTTCAGTTAAGCAGAATAAAAAAAATACAGACCTCTACCTTTAATTACAGTGTAAATGTCTGATTACTTTTGGATTTTAATTCTACTTTTCCTATGAGAAAAAAAAAATCTTCATGGATTTATATTATTTTAAAAGAACTTTTAAAAAATGGAGTTGCTCACCATATGTAAGTATACTGTCAAAACAGCCAATTTCCCTGAAATTCTTACACATTAAAATTTGCTCTTTGAACACCACACCAAGAACATTGAAGAGTTGTTGGTGGGATTTAAGATTGTCAACACTGACGCTCTTTCATCAATGGAAACTTTAATAGTGCAGCTTCCACGTGACTTTGAAAGGATTGTGCACCAAGAAAGGATATTGAAAACTTACCTTTTTGACTTCTTTACTTGATCTGAATGTCTGTGGAACAAAGGAGTCACTTTCAATAGCTTCAATTTCTTTTGCTCGTTTCACTTGCTCTACCAGGGTGGCTTGGTCTACAAAGAGCAGGTGTAATGTCAGTATACATTAGTGTAAGTCTACGATAAATGCCATGTCTAAGCAGTGCCTTGAATATATTTTACAACAGTACGTAACAGAAATAAAAAATCTCAACTTATAATGCAGCCTAAAACCTGTTACAAAGAAAAACTCCTTTAGTAAAAGCAACAGTAAGGTGGCCATTCTTGTTCAATGCATGGTATCATTCAAGATGCCAATTTAAGAACTTGCTGGAGATGTCCTTGCAGAATAACTGCTAGGTTTATGACATGAGTATTTCCCAGAGAACATGAGGATTCAGGAACAGTGCAGACAACTCAGGAGTTCAATCCATATGGAGCAGTAAAACTACTTCCGCTTGTATGGAGGTGAACTTTGCTCCAGCTGTGGATGTCCTGAGATATGTGCCACCACCTGTGTCCTCCTCATGACAAGCTAAGTGATTAGTTTGGCATTAAGAGTTCCATCATTAGATGAATTTCACAAAAAAAAAATAATCTTAGAATCTGGTAATAAAATATTCCTAACATAAACACTAAATATTGTGTGCTCATACAATTCTCTGGTGACCGAATTGCAGCTGTTTAACCAAATGAGCAAAATTGCTTCTGAATTGTACTGTGAGGCCTTACAGTACATGTAGATTCCACAAGATATTTTTGAATCCCAGGCTGAGACTTGATTTTGTCAAAGCGAACGCTGCTCCCAGTGACTTTATGGCAAAGAAGAGCAGCTCCTGCCACCCTTGGTATGAGCTACGTTAAACACATAACTGGGGTGCTGTCAGATAGGTTTTACTAGTTCTTTCACGGCTCAAACAGGTGATCTTCTGGTTTAGAAGATGTAGACTGGTGCCAGACTAGACTGGCAGGAAGCTCAGAGTATTCATAAATGCAAGATGCACTTCTTTTTAAAAATCACACTAGTGATGGGTGACAGTGAAGTTTTGTGTCACAGCTACGTTGATCTAAGCTGCCAAAGGGATGGTCTGTCTTCGCTCTCTCCTGCACCTGTTGTGCAGTCTGGTGTTGCTCCTTTCACCAAAAGCTGAGTGATTGAATTAGCTCCCTTGCAAGGTGAAAGCTTGAACTTGTGCCACAGCCCAAGAAAACACCACATCATCCCTGAAACTTGATGCCAGACTTGAAATGCAGCAACAACATCATGCATAGGCTGGTCTGGTACAAACTGTCTTCTAGATCAAATTCGGTTTCAAAAGGTTTTGTTCTACTGGCCTTGATGTCAGAGCGGGTGTACCTGCCCCAGCCAAAGTCCAGAGGCCAGCTGCCTGCTAACACTACAGCATAAATTCAGATTGGCTTTTTGTATAGTTTGAAAGTGCAGCCATGTCTGTCCTGCACTGACAGGATACTGAGGACATGAGTTTGAGTCACAGAATCAGTCTTAAGCGACAAAGTGAAAAGGAGAGTGCCAAAAAGGAGAGGATGAAACAGTGCTATTTTTGCAGGTGATCAGATAGTTCATGAGCACATAAAAATACCTTAAACAATATACAAACCACAAATTTAAATAAACGAGCAACTGTAATTATACATTGGTAGCACATACATATGTATGTATAAAAGATTACATTTCTTTTTCTAAAGAAACCGAAGTATATTTAAACTCAGGAAAAGTGCTTGCAGACCAAAAGAGGTTGCAAAATTATTGAGAAACTCAGAAGTACCAAATTCTTTTCCTGTATACAAAATTCTAAATCCAAGTTCATCTAGATATACACATGCACTGCAAAATGCTTTCCATTTTGCACAAGAA